AAAATGGGGAAAAAGTACCCGCTTTTGGATTTTTGAAAATACCCATTTTTTGACAGTTTTGAATAATTTCAAAAATTAGTACAAGATACTCATTTAATGAATACTTTCAGGTTAGCGTGTAGAATTGAGATTTAGATGTGTCGCTCCCCTTGCCTTTACCAACATTCAGGTATGTGCATCTTAGCGAGAATCGTATGTTAAATTAAATGTTTACGTTGTTATTTTCGGTAGAAAGTCCGTAGCATTCAGCATTAACTTTCGAATACCAGTTTCTACACCTGGACACTACCTATCGATCCATCAACTCATGAACCGGGGACTAATGGCTTCAGTTCCTTCTATTTAAGCGTGATCAGAGATGTTGCTCGAGATGTTATACCTCAGAACATCCCGGCGGCACCAACTGGGATTGAACCCAGGCCTGCTGGGGTAAGAGATAATCACGCTTACCACTACACCACCGGCATCGCTAAAGAAACACTTTCAAATCGTAGATTTCACAACTTTCATTTTGAAAATTTACACAGTACACAGTACGAGATTTGGGAAACTTGTATTTTGAAATTGAATTATTTTTAAAGCAACAGTTTTTGGTATTTGGTATTTACGAAACGAAAATAAATTATTTTATTCATGTGCCTTATACACACAAACAACGAAAATTGTTTTAATAAAAATAATGCATTTTCAAATTAAAAGTGTCTTAAAATTAGTAGTTTTAACAACAAACACATTAAAAATTAAAGTTGGCTTTTTAAATTGAAAGTTTTTCTTTTACTTTTGACTCGTGGTTTTAAAAGTACAAATTTTTAAAACAAAAGTTGTACAACTGTCAAAAATATCCCTTCAGCGATGTTTTACTGGCTGCACTGACGTCTCATATGCCGCCTTTTCTGCTAATCTGGCCGCTTTTAGAATGACATCCAAATCAAAAGTTACAAAAAGAGTCATGATTATTTTGTGGGATACCAGAAACTGAACTTTTCTTCGTTGGATATTCCGACATTTTTTGCTGCTACGTAGAGACCCACTTGGAATTGGCATTCCAAATCGAGTTCCAAATGGTAAGTACATTATTTTCATTGTTATTGTTATTGGATTTTTTTTATATCATACTATGAAATTAACCAGGACGACGTAGCGACAGTTTTCGGTATCGACCGTATCAAATTCCTGTCGGAGAAGGATCAAGCCCTACCGAGAGCCCTACAGCATAATAACGAGAATCCGTCACCAGTTGGTACATTCTGATGTTGCGGCATAGGATTTTATACGTCTGTAGCGCTCAGTGCTGGATTCATCGGATTACGAAATGTAAAACAATACCAAGCTTGTCTTGCCAGTGTCCGGATTATGTGTTCCTCGTATCGACCTTCACTTGCCGGAAAATCTATCTGTGTCGCTCCGTGAATCTCGTTGCAAAACCGCTTAATTAGTTGTAGGGAAAAATAAGTAATAAACAAATATATTTTTTGAAGTTTTTACTAATTTTCAAAACGTCAAATTAAATATTATTTAGAATTTAAAATGAATATAAGATGTTATTACCATAGAGGTAAGACCACTGGGTCCCGAAGAAAATCATTATTATTTTTGGCTCACTCAGTACCAGAACAACGGTCCCAAGCAGTCCCAAGCTATTTCACTCACCCCTGCATGTTCTGCATGAATCCACACACCCCTGATGTTATCTGTCAAACTTTCATAGCGAATCAAAACAAACATAGTGTAGTAATAGAATTTCAACTAGAATAGGGTACGTTAATCGTTTGCTTGGGACCAATAGGCTACTAAAGTGGTGAGCCAATTTAAAATCGTTAGTTTCGTATTGATTGTTGTTATTACGGTGAAAATGCGTATTTTTAGTTTTAAAATTTTATTTTTCCTATCCAAAATGTTACTTATTGTTTTAACTATATCATATTTTCAAATCAATACATTGTTTTGAATTGAAAAGAAACCAATTTTAATGCCATCACTGCCGTGCTTTTAATTTGACAGTAATACAATTTATTTTGAAAGTTTTAGCTTTTAAAAGTAGTGAGCGGACAACTTTTGATTTAACAGTTGGCTGACTTTTGGTTTGAAAGCTAACCGCTTTCTACCAAAAAGAACCAATGCAAACTTTTAATTCAACCAATGGATTTTTTAATTCTAGCAACGATTTTTCTTTCTGTGTACATTTTTGCCAAAGCATCAGCCTTATACCACAGAGAACAGACGTCCAAGTTCGATCAGAAACTTTTGTAAAGTTAAGTGGAAACGTCGCCGTTACGTACCGCTAGCATCTCCTGATTTCCTCTATAAATTTATCACTTTCGACCAATTGGGCGCTAGTATCGATAAATTATCTATTGAAAATTGCCACTTGGCGCTACCAGCACTTAGTGTCTACACAGCAAAAAAAATGTAACATCGATCAATGTAATTCAAGCTGATGTATGAAATAATATAAATAAGCAGATACAATATTACATCAATGGATGTAATTTTGTTCGCAAAATCGATGTACATCGTACAACGTTATATTACACAACCGATGGATTGACCTGGTTGCAGCAGTTTGGATGTAATATTCAACCACTTTTTTTTCTGTGTAGTGTAAGTTTTGTAACGCCAGCACCATCATGTTGTCGAAGAGGGAAGTCACCGTTAGTGGCGCTTAAGTCAAATAGGAATCTTTACACAAGTTTTTAGAGAAATTTAGTTCGAGTCTCAATGTCTGTTCTATCTACATTCCATAAGACAAACCACATAGGTCCTATAAGAATGCATACAAGGTATGTGTGACCACTTATACCAAAGAAGAATACTAAGATGAAACAGTCGGAAGAAAAACTTTCTATTTTAGTGCCCTCTTTCACGGTCCCTTTCATCCAATGAATACCCCCCATATGCAAGGTAATTTTGTTGTTTTGCTGCCCCCTTGGTAGAGATGAAATTTTGCGCTCTTTTTTATCAAAACAATCCCACCAAAATCAGAGTTATCCCATTTCTTAATTGTTCAATTAACTAATCGATTATTTTTTGTTCGCTGTTCTGTCATTTTTCCACCAATGAGAGTGAAGCCCATGTTTGAAACGATGGGTGATGATCCTCTCTAGGATCCTCTGGAGAAGTTAATGCTGATGTCGGCATGATATAACCGATTACAAATATTTTACTTTTCGGTTCGTTAATCGATTAATCTATTATTCGAATGAAAATTGGCCATCACTAGATGAATGTGAAACGTCATTTCAAATTTAAGGACCGTACATAAATAATGATACAGTTTTAAAGGGACTGGGGCTAATCACAAATTACCACCCCATGGTAACTGACATAAACAAGAGTGTTGACCGGTTGCTTATACATTTCATTTGACACATGATCTTCATTAGCTTTTTGCAAGGCGTCTGCTTATTAGTTGACTCATACATTTTATGAATAATCAGCCTCGTAATCAGCAATATAAATTTGTCAAAAGGTATAAGGAGGCTATTATCTCCGCTATTACCAACCGGTGGATACTAACGATTTTATATTGGCTCATACTGGACTAGCCTATTGGTCCCAAGTACATCGATTAACGTATCCAATTCTAGTCGAAATTCTAATATTACATGTTGTTTGTTTTGATTCTCTATGAAAGTTTGACAGATAAAATGAGAGGTTTTCTTGCACTAATAATAATTTTCCCCAAGTTCTGCACTAATACTTGTGCATTTCACGAAAGTAAGAGAAGTCTATAGGCTAGCCCAGTGTGAGCCAATTTGAAATCGTTTAGTCCCAAATGAAATGACAGCGAAAGCGGAACGGCAGCGGCAGCGGAAAAGCCCGATCTGAGTAACCCTACTTGTCGGATTGAAAACTAGTTAGAATCAAGTTGACTTCGGTTAGGCATCATGATGTCATTTGAGACAACTGTTAAACTTTCCGTTTCCGTTCCGCTTCCGCCCACATTATGTTTGATTGAGCCTTTAGTTTCCACCGGTTGGTACTACTCCTAGACTAGGTAAAATTTTCGTAAGTTTACCTCATTTTCCGGCAGATTTTTGAGGTTTTCCAAAGGAAAACATGAGGCAAATTTCTAGGGGGGACGTGCTGTCAAATCAGCCTACTGATCATTCTTGTATGAAACTGGTTCCAAACGTAAACAAAGGCTGTAGGTTTCTAATGGCTTGTTTACATTTGGAACCAGTTATGCGAGGTAGGCGACGATTGTTCGTATTTGACAGCCACCTCCCCCCCCCCCCTTGGCAAATTTACGCTGAGTTCCTGTAATTTTTGCGTTTACGAGTAAACTGAACTCTTATTTGGGTTGATCTCATTGGCCTTGTATTCATTCACTCATGAGTGAAGAATAAAAGAATATAAAAAGAAAGAAAAAGAAATAAAGAATAAATCAGGCATAACATTTGATAACGGCACAAAAGCATTTGTAAACAAACTTTCTAAGGCCCTTTACACGCGAACCAAAGTACGCCCACGCAAACCAATACCACTTTCGGAAAGGTGATAGTTGCCCCTATCCGATGATGTTGTTGGTTTGCGTAGGCGTACTTTGGTTCGCGTGTAAAGGGCCTTAGAAAATATGTTTACAAATGATTTTGTGCCGTTATCAAATGTTATGCCTGAAATCACATATCCAATGGAAAATATTCATTTGAATTTCGCATAACTTTCATGTGATATCATAATTGGAAATTGTACCACAAAATCACATGAACCTTATAGGTCAAATAAAATTTAAGTGATTTATCATATAGAACTCATGTGATCACATGAATGTTATGTGAAATTGAGATAGATATCATTGGTTTTGTTAAAGAAAAAATATAATGTGCATTTCCAATGGAAACTATTTACATAAATAATTTTTTCCGTGTTTTTTGCCATTTTGATTCAAATTTAACTTAATTTTGAAAAATTCTCATTGGCCGTGTAGCAGACGGTTGGAGGCATCATATTTTCACAACAACGCACCGAAGCGTCATCATGCGGCTTTGCATGGAAGCTTGAATAAACAAACCATAAAATGGCGTCGTCAGACCCGAAAGCAGCTTTGCTTAGTACCCAAACGGAAAAGCCAAATCATTACACGTAAGTAGTTGATTTTGCAGTTGAATTGTGTTGTATCTTGTAGCGCAAATTGCGCTGCTTTCGGCAATGTACGATAAGTGTATTTTTTGTTGTAGATACTTGAAGGAATTTCGTGTGGAACAGTGCCCATCGTTCCTGCAGCACAAATGCAATCAGCATCGACCATTCGTGTGCTTCAATTGGCACTTTATGAATCAGAGACGCCGTCGGCCCGTACGTAGACGTGATGGCTCATTCAACTACAGTGCAGATAATTACTGCACCAAGTACGACGAAACTACCGGAATTTGCCCAGATGGAGATGAGTAAGTCCGAAAAATTAAATTTTCATTATCCAAAGGTGCCCCCTTCGAAAGATATTCTTATGGTAAAGAAAAGGTTCTTTTTTTCTTGGCTACTTCCTCGTACGTCTCCCGCCTGGAGAAGCACAAACGGAGCCCCAAAATGCCATCACCGCTTTGTTTGTGTGGATCAGAGTGGGACAGGGCAATCAAAATATTTTTATTTTTTACATCGTGCGTGCTCGTTCTACCGCCCTTGCATAATAACTTGTGGTGTAGTGGTTGGTGTTTTGGTGTTTGCGCTCATGGTTTTGGCAGTGTTGGTGATTTACTTTCGGAGTTGATTGTGGTTCCATTTGCAGTGTATTGGTGAACACAGTGGGTGCGTAAATACGCGATACGGTGGACAATATTTTGTTTTGAACAGTGGTGCGATGATTATGCATACAGGTTGCGATTTGTTGTGATATTTATTATGTGAAACACTGTTGGGTAATCGTCACTTCAGCGTGTGTTTTGTTTTGATATCCAAGTTTGTTGACTCGTTATTGGATGTGATCATTTTCAATACTACGTGTATCTGTATGTGATATTTTGGCTATTGGCGTTGACGGCGACTCTGTAGCTCTTTACTCCTATGAGAAAATCCATAAGCAAACGTCAGACTGTGCGTGAAACATGGCGAACTTTGTACTATCCTTTCACTCCACCGAAAATTCCCACAAGAAACTGTCTATATTTGGTGGAAGAGCAAATTTTTCGATGGTGCCGTCAACGCCAATAGCAAAGAAGGAAACACTGTGATTAACTCGTGGACATCTAAAATCTGCATTATTTTGTTACTAAAAAAGCCTTTTTGCATCAAATGAGGTTTAGTGTAGCCAACTCTCGTTTAAAAGGATAGGAAACCCTACTAAAAAATATCATGAGTGAACAACCCAAATGATAGAACTATTCCACAAATGGTTTTGATGATTCTCCGAACGCGTCGTCAAGCAAATTAACCATGAAATTTTGATTAGGGGATGGGTTCAATTAATATTATACATTTCGTAAATGTTGTTTTTCCATAACTTGCTTCTCTATCCGTTTTGCTTTTGAAACATGGAAAACATGAAGCTTATTAACCCTCTCCCGTGGACATTTTTTGTCATTTCATTTGTCAAACGAGTCGTCAAAGCATTTAAAGTACAGCGATGTGGAGTTGTAATATTTCATTATACGATGTAGGTACATAGAATTTGTCAACAAATGGATGTAAATATCTGCTTCTGGCAATTACATCAATATTAGCATTAACATGCTTTTTAATTTCGTCACGTTATATCGGTGGAATTATTGTTTTTAAAAATATGAACAAAGGTGCTCATATAGCAGCACCCTGTGGGAGTCACGAAAGTCCTTTTTGATCACCTAGAAGGCTTATTAATCTTTTCTGCGTGAAGTTGATTCATTTAAGAAAATTCTCATGAATTATGTATATTATTATGTTTCCTTGCAAAGTACTGCATTATGACCCAACAGGTCTAAAATAGAATCTGAACATATTTTAAAGTCCTCAGAATCCATTTCCGAAAATCGTGTAAATTTCAGCTTTTAGATTTTTTTTTACTTTCGTTATAATTAGGCGAAGCTATGTTATATATTTTTCTCAACATTATAATCATGTTTTTGGTAATTTCGTTACATGTACGGTCATGAACGAGAACCTACAAGCTACAGCAATTAAACACGATTAATTACATGAAATTACAAGATTTTTCCTGTGCAAATTCTTTAGCCACTCAGTCATTCTATTTCCGTTCACAATAATGATACAATATAGAAAAAGTTTGATCCTCTGTGAACTTTTGTCTTTGTTTTATTTTTCATGTTACAGGCCTGGTACAGTGTGTGGACATGGGGACATGGTTTTATGTTTTTGTTTATGATTCTTTGTCTGGCCGAACGATGCTGTTTTGCCAGTGGTGTGCGCAAGTGTGCTCCGTTTGGGTGTGTGTGTTCATATGAAAGATGGCCAACTTGTGTGAGTGGTGAACACCAGTCGACCGACCGGACAAAAATGAAACATGGGATGTTTGTAAAGTAATCCTAAAACGGAAAGTGAGAGTGAGTGTATGAGCTTTCATTCATTTTCGTGTGTAGGTATGATGAAACACCAATACTGACATAAACATAACAGATCGCGTGTGCATCTTTAGTATGGTATAAATACTAGATTGACACAATTCAATTTGCTGTGTGTAGTGGTGGGTGCGTGGAAGCTAAAAAGATTGTTTATGGGTTTTATTGACTGATGAAAAAAGCTCTTTTTTCAGCTACGCAATAAGACGACAAAAACAAAGCAATGCAGATAGGTAGCTTCCAAAAATATGTGTTGTTTTCTTTTTGTTTGTGCTGTTTTCCGTGCACGGAATTGCGACTTATTTTCAAGCACGTTGCAGTACAGGGGATGTAAGGGCAAATCACCCAAGTTTTCACTAATTTCAACATTACATCAATTTAAGCGAACCCCACACGTATCAATATTTGACGCGAAGGGGAATTATTGGCAATAATATTGATGATGTGATTGCAGAAATATTGTCAATACCGATGTATTGACGTCAATATTGAATGTATTGACAATAGGATTATTGTCAATAAAAACAATCGTGTAGGGTCCACTTTAGAATAGATTTGACTGAGTGCCTCACACAGGGCTGGTAGCAGGTCACTTTTTAGTGACTTGGTCACTATTTTGAAGCCAGTCACTAAAAAGTCACTTTTTACACCAAAAAGTCACTATTTCCCTAAAAATAGACACTAAAGTCACTTTTTCACTACTAAAAGAGAGTGAAATTTAAAAATATCAACAAAATGTTAATATTGAGTACTTGGCACTAAGAAAGTCTACAGTAGTTTTAACAAAATATACATATCTGTTAAAAAATTGAAAATTTTAACCAGAGTGACCAGTGAACCGCAAAACTTACCAGGAAAACTATTTGGAAATGCCTACAATTTCGATTAAAAATCGGGAAAAATATATCTCCTTTCCCAGAAAATAAATTGTTAACCTTGGAAGCTTTCCAAAGAAATTGTCTGTGATAGATTTTCAAAAGTCATTCAAGGATGATTAAGAACTTCAAAAAATCCATAGCAAATTTTAAGAGAATTTTAAAGGATTCTAGGGATGATACCAAGATATATCAGAGAAGAACACCAAAGTACAGACTACGAAAGTCTCATGTAAAATGAAGTGCTCTGAGGATCGATTTCATCTTCTGCGCTTAAATCTTAAGCCAGGTTTACCTATATAGTTAAACTTGACTTAACACATACGAGCGTCGCTTTTGATTATTGTTTAAATTAACAGAGACGCAAAATTCAGCTCCGAAACAATTTTGGAAATAATTCTAATATAATTGAGAGTGCATTTTAACGAGAGTTCTTAAAAGAATTATTTGATTATTGCATGAGGATTCTAGGTCCATTTCTAATAAGAATTCAAAATAAGTTCTGAAATTTTGCTAAAGGGGGCTCTGATTAAAATTCCATGAAAATCCCGTGAACTCCAAAGATGGTCTCTGCGGATAGTTCTAAAAGAATTCTGGGGTGATTTCTGACGATACTTCCTAGAGAATTCTAAAGAGTTCGAAATAAATTCGGAAAAGAATTCCAATAGAATCGAATTTTGAGGAACCCTCTCAAAGGAATTCTTAGAAGAGTTTCAAAGTTTGTGATGGATTTTTGTTTTGAGAATTCTGAGGAAATACTATGGGGATTCTAAGAAGATTACGAATTAAATTTTTAATTGAATGCAAGGGAGAAGTCCAAGATTATTCTAAGCAGAAATTTATGAAATTTCTGAGGTTAATTGCATGGAAATTCTAAGGATGGATTTATGAAAGGAGCCTTAAGGGTGTTCCTAGAAGAATCAATAAAAATCGAAAATAATCTACTTTAACTAATCATGTGTTATTACTTCATGCGTGAATTTAACGATTTACATAGTCGGAGATACTTAACGTCAAATATCAGACTTAAAGTGGAGATTTTATACGATCGATGAGGAGATTCAATTATAGAGTTGATAGTTCCGTTATAGTGCGGCAGTGTGAAAATTGTATATACAAAGTAGAAAGCGAGCAAAGGACAATTTGGAGGAAGGTGCGAATCGGGTAGTTGTTTACGACAGATGGCGACTTCAGTGTGAAACAATCGATATAACTGTTTCCGCACATCAGAGGTACATGAGCAAATCGGCGATCATCCCTTTTGCCAGTGGTGGCAGGGGGAAACACCCCTCACCATCCCTTATTAACGGATGAGCTTGGTAAAGGAGATGATCTACCCTATTCGTATATTTCTTAAAATTGTACTTTGTTCTCTTTCTACTTTCTATATGCAAATTTCACACTGCCACACTATAACGGAACTATCAACTCTTTACTTTCATCTCCTCCTTCATCGTATAAAATATCCACTTTAATTCTGATATTTGATGTAAAGCATTTCCAACTACGAAAATAATCTATTTCCAAGAATTTTGTTGACTGTTCTGCAAAGAATTTCAAGAATGCAATATTATTTTTTGTAAAAGCTTATTTGCCTCTAAGTTTAAGAGAAGGGGAATTATTCTAAAAAAAGTTCTTGAGATCGTTCTGAAGAAATTCTGTGGAAAGTTTTTAGCAAATTATCAAAGTTATCTACCTATATATCAAATATTTAAAGATTTCGAAGGCAGAATCAAATTCAAGATCATAAAAAAAATGTAATAATGTAATAATAATGTATAGAATATGTGTATTACCAGAACCGATGGACAGAGCAAGAAATGTCATGAAGCTGTCTTTTTTTTTTAAATTGGGTTCTTTAAGGGTATTGAGGTTAATGTATATTCGTAATCTGCATTGAAAATGGAACCCAAACCCAAAATTTCATCAATTTTGGTAAACTGGAACTATTTTAAATAAGTACGATAACATTTGCAAAAATCACCTTATTAGCGCCCCTCGGTGTCACTTTGTATGGGAGCGACA